AACAATATAAAAACATAGAACTAATCTCCATCGCACAACATTATTGAAACAATATAAAACATAGAACTAATCTCCATCGCACAACATTATTGAAACAATATAAAAACATAGAACTAATCTCCATCGCACAACATTATTAAAACAATATAAAAACATAGAACTAATCTCCATCGCACAACATTATTAAAACAAAATAAAAAACTTAAAACTAATATTCAATACACACAGTTAAGAAAATAAAATACAAAATCCCCCTATATTTCTTCACGAAAGTTTTGCATTTTGCAAAGCCAGCTCCTGTTCTCTTGCCTGTTTATTTCTTATCTGTAAAATATTAAGCAAATAAGATGAACGGTATTTAACAAATAAGGACTTCCCTTTGATTTTTTTACGTAAAGAAAATAATCTTGTAACGTTGAAGAAAATGTCACACCTTTTGGGTGAAGAACAATGACATCTTTATATCTTGAAAATATGTTTTAAGGAATAAATAAAATTATATCACATGTATTACATGACATTAAAATAACTTATTAAATTGTACTAAGTGCTACCAGAAGAGTTTAAAAAAATGTACCAAATAGTAGCAAAACGTTTTAGAATTAATGTACAGAAGATTTTAAAATTAGGCCTGTTTAGAGCTGAAGGATTTTAGGAGGATTTATAAATGGTATGAATTTCAATATCTTGCATCATCTCAAACAAAAAACATTCTCTTGTAATAGTACGATGATACCATAACCTTGTTTTCTTGTCAATACGGTTTTATTATCATGTGCATTATGTTTACAAATATTTAATAACTGATAATTATAAAAGCAAGAAATTCACATAAAAAAAGCTTGAAGAACTACGAAAAGGATGGATATAATTCAAGATGAAAACTGACTAAGGATGGATATAATTCCAGACGAAAACTGACGGTTATTAAGGATGGGTATAATTCAAGACCAAAACTGACGGTCATTAAGGATGGCTATAATTCAAGACGAAGACTGACGGTTATTAAGGATGGATATAATTCAAGACGAAAACTGACGGTTATTAAGGATGGATATAATTCAAGGCCAAAACTGACGGTTATTAAGGATGGATATAATTCAAGATGAAAACTGACGGTCATTTCTAATAGAAAGATAGACAGACATATAGATAGAAAGATGTTTGTATGGAAAAAGACGAAAACGTCAATAAATATTTTGATACATCAAAGCTACAACGACGCCCCAATTACGTCAACTCGCACGACTTGTAGTATATACAAATTTTGAAGTTGTTCTTCTACTCCAGGGATGTCTTTTAGTTTATTTAGAACGGATGAGAGCTTTCTGGCGCTGTCTCGTCTTGTAACCTAAATATAACCTTCGCTTATTGCTTGAAAGCACATAAAAGTGTTCGAATGTTGAAAAATAACCTAAAACCTTAGAATGTTTTTGTTTCAATACAGCGTTAATTTAATATTTAACCTTTAGTTCTCCTATTTGTACTATTTAGATATCATAAATCCTTAAAGAAAAATTGATACTGAGTGAATGTTCAGATTTGCAGTATGTGAATGTCATATATATTTAGAAATGACGGGAAGTCGTGTTGATATTTTATCGATGGTCACAGCTGTAGTATGTGAAAAACATAAATACTTAGAGACAAAACTAAGTCATATACTGAGCCAGGGTTCACATTTGTAATATGGGGATGTCATATATATTTAGAGATAAAATGGACTCATATTGATAATGAATCAATGTTCAGGTTTGTGGTATGTAGATATCATAAATAGTTAGAGAGAAAATTCAGTCATATTGATACTGAGTCAATGTTCGTGTTTATAGTATGGGGATATCATAAATATTTAGAAATAAAACTGATTCATATTCATATTGAGTCAATGTTCAGATGTGTAGTATGGGGATGTAACAAATATTTAGAGACAAAATTGAGTCATATTGACACTGAATCAATGTTCAAGTTTTAGTATTGGGATGTCATACATATTTAGAGATAAAGTTGAGTCATTTTGATATTGAGTTAATGTTCATGCCTGTAATGTAATGATATCATAAACATTTAGTGATAAAATGGTGTCATCTCGATAATGAATCAATCTTCAGGTTTATAGTATGTAGATATCATAAATATTTAGAAATTGTTTGTTTGTTTGTTAGTTTTTTGAATTTCGCGCAAAACTACACGAGGGCTATCTGCG